TCATATCTTCTATGCTGTTGTTCTCTCATGTATCATCATATAATGTTTGTTTCTATTGCAGCAGTAACTTGAGTAATCTACCATAAACCACAGCTCTTCCAAAGAATAAATGCCAAATCCCTTCCTTATAGAGTTCATAACTACAACATCTTTGTTCTGTTGAAAACCTTCATTCTGTCTCCAGCATAGTCACTATCTCACTGCAATTGTTACTGCAGATATAGAAAGTACCACTGAGGTCACTGTTAAAAATACTCTGTAACACTGGGTGTTGTATAAACATGTAATCTCTCTTTTTATTTGCTAAAATCTTCACAGGTATGTGAAAATTATAGTGTTGAAAGTGTGTGAAAATTACAATAGTTTGTAGATTTAGTATTTTAACTTTATTTGCAGACTAGCATTTTGTAGACTTAGGACAGAAAATTTGGGTAGACTTTCATGAAGACAGTAAAAATGAAGATCAGATAAAAGGAGACTGCCTTAGCAGGATCTGGAGCCTAGCTAAAAAACAGAACAGTACCATATTTCTGAACTGTCTTAGGACTTTTTAGCAAGGCAAAACAATTAGTCTAATGCTCAACTAATTAATTAATTACAATAAAAATTAACATGAGTCACAAATATATGTGATGAACTACAGAGCACATGGCTAAAATTTGCCAAAGTTATAAGCAACAGAAAAAGAGGTTCTTCAACACGGAAGGCAGTTCGGTTTTGTTGGCAGATGAATCCACTCAATCCAATTATCTCACATATGTGCCAACAGATACCCAAAGATAATACAAGATTCACAGGTCTTCCTATCACTGTTTTTCTCATCTGGACCAAACTGTTCCAGAGATCACTGTAATTGTACCTTTTTCTCTTTTTTCTGTGTTGAAGTTTCAAATACATCTTTCATAAAACCCACAAAGACAGCATGCTACTTTGAAGAAAATCAACTTTCTTTGAAGAGCAACATGAAAGTCAGAATTTTGTCTGGTTCATTTCACTTCAATTCTTTTCATCACACTCCCTCCACATTTCAACTTAACAGTAAACATAATCTTTAACGTGCGGGATCCTCCTACAGAAGCCTTACTACGAATCACTAGACTGAGCTGCTTTATGAAGCTGCCCAAGTCTGACAGCTGACTTTCAAAACATGCTGAGTAATGAAAGAGATGGTCAAGCATGCCAGCAAAATGCACAGCAGTTTGCACTCCCAAACACTAAAGTGCGAGGAAAGTTCTTACTTATTTCAATCATTTTCTTACTATTTCTCTTAAGGCAATAATAGAGAAGAAAATAAAGCTTTCACATGCGCTAGCATTAAAATGATAAGCCATTTCCAAGCAATGTTTGGATGTGAATTAAATGAACTAAAATCATCTGCATATTACAGTATTTTCATAAATGGCCTTGTTAGAGGCATGAAACCATTACTGCCATTACTTGGTACACAGCCTACATATATAAAGAAGAAGCTGAACTATATTTAAAAATGAATTGATGTACTTTACACATTTGTAGTGGCATCTGAATCAGCTTCACTCAATGTGTGCTAAAACAGCACTGTAAGCCACTTACCCAGGATAATATGCAGCAAGATCTCTACATTTTTCTTCCCACCAAACTTAATTATGAAATCACTGTGATTTGGCTCATGCGATGCACCGGTCTTGAACAGCATTACTTAAAAAATATTTGCTACGAGTCAATTTTATTTCTTTGTAAGGCTTCACCAATATAAGTGAAAATGCTGAATGTGAAGCAAGGGTAAATGCTGTGTGCTTCTGACAAAATATATTTTAGGTCTTAAAGAGAGAAGTTGTATGGTGCAGAGTCAAAAGGAGTGAAAGTTCCTTCAGGAAACGATGGGAAAAAAATAAGTGTAAGATCTACAGAACAACTGATTGCTCCCTAAAGGCAGAACTCATGGAGTCTCCATGGAAACAAACATAATTTTTATCCATCACTAACTAATTTAAATAACAGATAAAAAAAATTTGGCCCCTCCAGTAGAAGCAGCAATGTAATTAAAGTTAACACTATAACTTTAGTTTGCCTTTTATCATACTACTTAATACCAATTAATTCTATTTTACAGTGCGCTTTATGTAACTTTATTATATCTTGTTCAAATACATTGGCTTGATGTCAACATGCAGGTGTTTAGAGCATCTCAACATTTACATCATGTTGATGGCAGCTATTATGCAACTACATTGCCCTAAGTATGTTGATGCAAAAAAATTTGACTGTACTTTTCCAACATGCCAATAGTAGGCTTATCCATTTGTGCCATGATTCTCTTATTTGTGCCTTTATGGAATACAGACTGCATTGATTTTATGGGAGGGGGAAAAAAAATCCCTCTCAACAATCAGAGTCAGCAATTTTCAAATATGAATAATTCAGAATTTGAAAAAAAATCTTGTCTCTTGGCTTGTGAGGACTAGAAGTCAAAACATAGTCATTCAAGGTAACACTATCTATAAAAATTCTGTTTGTGTTAGATTTCATTCTAAAACAACAACCAAATATATTCATATTCATAAATTCATCATCACATTTCACTCAACACTTATTATGCCACGTGTTTCTTATTTAAAAAGAGCTTACCTGACACATCTATAACGGGAATATTGAAATAACTCTAAACTACATTAGTCACAGACAAATCCATTTTCAGTGACTGCGATACCTGGCAAAACATTATTCAGAGTGACTAAAAGCCTCAGCAGAAGAAACTGCAAAAGTTATTTTTATTGCTGTAATCAGAAGTGTGAAACCAAAACAAACTGCCGCTTTTCTAGTATCTGCAATTTAAGTTAAATATTATTGCCAAACAATATTTTTAATAGTTAATAAATTTTGTTAAGGTTTTAAGGAACTCTATGTTAAAAAAAAAAAAAAGATTTTACCAAATGCCTTTCTATTTCACAAATGCTACTACCTGTGTAACCTCTCAAAACAACAGACCAAAATAAAACCTATAGGGGACAAACGGTGAAGGGGGTGGGAGGGATGTGGGGAAGAAAGGAAAAAGTCAATGTCTTAGCACAGGACCCAGCAAGCCATTCATACTTCAGACCAACTGTGTTTGCTACCAGTGCAATTTTAAAAATTCTGTTATACAGTATATAAAATAATATTTGCTTGTAAGTGTGAAGCACTTCTCTCTAAAATGCAGGATTGCCCAAGTGGGTATTTGAAAATGGTCCTTAATTTTAGAACAGGGTGCACTAAGACAAATTTTCCTAGTGGAGAAAAGTAGACCCAATACCAACCAGAAACAACCTCTTTGCTATGTACCATATTTACCAATAAATATTTCCACAGAAATTCTTGCAATTATCCAGTGGAGCACAAATAAATATACAAATCACTTTCATATACAATCTCAATACACTTCACAATGCTCAATTCAAGCTAATTGTTGCAATGAAATATTCAACCCCAAACACAACATCTAATCTGATAAACTGACAGCAGTTTAGCAGGGAAGAGTTGAATTTGTCTGTTTGATGAATTCCTGACCTGGATTCAAACCATCCAACATAAGTAATACATAGAACTGCTAGCTACTGAAGTAACAATGGCTCTGTTACAGAAACTCATGATAACATTTATGCCTATTGATTAATGTTTTGATATAGTTACAAGACTTAATCGTCTATGCAAGGTGCAATTAGATTTATTTCAGTGATGGGAATTTATTGAACATGCATTACTAAATACCAAATAAAAGTCAGCTCTGGCTCTAATTTATCATCTTTAATTTGTTAAAACATGTTACTGCTATCAGCTATCTTAAATAATCCAGAATCTAAGCGCTCTTTTCATACAATACCATTTAAGGTATGTACAGAAAACATATTAGGAAGCTAACAAATTATATTATCTACGTATCTATTATTGACAGAATATTAGGCCTGTGGTTGCAAATTACTCTTCCCTTTCTCCATGGTCCCATCCCCCCAACAGCAGATCATTTTCAGTGCCATTATTGTCAGGCATATTAAATTTTCAGCATGCCCAGTTGTGGTTTCCAGGTCTCTATTTACCCCTTGAACTGTGTTTTAACTGGGCATTCTTACACTTAAAATAACAGAGCAGAGGTGTAATAACGTTTAACATACTACAGCCACAGAGAAACAGATTTGTAACTGACTAGAGGCAATACCAGCAAAATTAATTGAAAACCCCCAAACCGTCATTCATTAAAAATCAACCCGTGACATAAAAAGATGCGCGTTACACACATTTCTGTCGCTGAAAGAGACGTTTTCTAAGTGAGGAGATGGCGTAACTGAGGAGATGGGTTTCCCATATGAATGGTATTGCCTCTGGCTTACCTGCTCCAGCTGTGGGAAAGGCTAAGCAAGAGGGACGCGGAGCGGAGCCCGCTCGTTACGGCAGCGCAGCGGCACTTGTGTGACAAATGGCTCACGGGAGCTTGAACAAAGCGATGCTGCTCCAGGGAAGCATCGCAGGGAACAAAGTCATCCCTTTGACAGCTCCTGCTTTTTTTCAGCGAAGCTGAAACAATACCGGACTCCCCGGGAAAACGCTAACAAAGGGCGAGCAGAATGAATCGGAGAGAACCAGCCCAGCCATTGAATTCCCCGGCAGCAGTGAAGTGACACCTTCTGAAAAATCACCCGCACGCCTCCTTACACCCTCCGCCGAACAAAGGCAGCCCAACAGTGGCAGGGAGCTACTTACGGGGGGGTTTTCTGGCCGTCCTCCCGGCGCAGCCTCCTGCCCCTGGGTGCTCGCCGCTGGCGTTGCCGAGCCCGAGGGCACATGTAGCACAGACGGGGCAGCACAAAGCCCCGCACGGCCCCGCACGACAGCGGGCGGCTCCGCACGGCGAACGCTCCCGGAGCGGCGGGGCCGGGATGCGGAGCCCCGCGGGAGGCGGCGGGGCCGGGATGCGGCGAGGCTCCCTCCCTCTACCGGCACCGCAGCGGCCCTTGCCCGGGGACGAGGGGTGTGGCGCAGGGTCCTACCTGGGCTCCCTGTCCGTGCTGCCAGAAGGAAGCGGCGGTGGCTGCTGCGGGCGCGGTGCCGCCCAGCCCGTCGGATGCCGCCCCCGTGGCGGCCGCCCCATGGCAGCGCGGCCGCCGCCGCTCACGGGCGCCCCGCAGCGCCGCGCCCCGGCCGCGCCCGCGTCCCCGCCCGGGTCCCTGCCCGCATCCCCGCCCGGGTCCCTGCCCGCATCCCTGCCCGGGTCCCTGCCCGGGTCCCTGCCCGCATCCCCGCCCGGGTCCCTGCCCGCATCCCCGCCCGGGTCCCTGCCCGCATCCCCGCCCGCGTCCCCTCGGCCCCTGCTGTTGGCAAGGAAGGGGTGAAGCTGGGTTTATCCGCATTCACCGGGACCCAGCACTGGCCGAGGAGCAGAGGTCCGCAGCTCCAGACGCACCGTGCTCTGATCCGCCGTTTGTTCTCTTCTCGCAGCAAGACCGAAGTCTGAACCCAGCGCCTAGCCCGTGCTGTAGTTAGGCAAATACTTATCCCCTTAATTTACTGAGAAATAGGGAAAACTGCAAGAAACAAAACCAAAACGAACTGTCCCCCAACACAGAAGCACAGAAATCAGCCTCCCTTCTTTCTCATAGCCTTAAATCCGGTATCAGCTCTTCTGGGGCTGCAGACTTCCAATTGAGCTCTCCAATACAAGAACCAAATTGGACACCTGTTTCCTGAATTTCCCATGGTAAAAGCACATGCTGCACTTAGTCCCATCCAGACTCTTACACTTTTGGAACCAACACTGATCCCACGGTTCATGATTCTCCATCACTGACACAGATGTGTTTTTTCAGCCAGCTCTCCAGATTCAGATGGCCCCTGGAGAAAAAGGCCTTGCAGCTATAGATTTTGTCTGCTCCTTAATTTTTTGGTCCAGTCAGAAGTGGTCCTTCTGATATTCTTAAAAGGTAAGACCCATGCTGGTTTGGACCAAAGAGCTATCTTCCCTTTTTTGTTGTTTTTTTTTTTCGGTTTTTTGTTTGTTTGTTTGTTGTTTGTTGTTTTGTTTTGGGTTTGGTTTTGGTGGGGTTTTTTTTTGGTTTTTTTTTTTTTTTTTTTTTTTNCATTGGATAACACTGGATAACACTGGTGAATCTGATGCAGATGGAGGCAACAAAAGTAGGGGCCATTGTTTGTTTTGCCGAAGCTGGGTTTGTACAGAATAGTATGTATAATAATCAGTTCAAAAATGTGTGCCAGTATTGCCACAGATGCATGGGAAGGAGCCAAATACAAATGATCAATATATTAATTCTGGTAAAGGCAACTATATGTAAGACAAAATAGATACGAGGCTCCCAGTTGACCCTAAAATTGTGAAGGATCTGTTGCTTCAGCTGTATCTCTACAAATATATGGGACCTGATGGGATTAATTCAAGAATCCTCAAGGTATCTAATATCATCAAAAAAAATCTCTCTCAATGTTGGTTTTTGTTTTGGTAGGTTTTTTTTTTTTTTTGTTGTTTTTTTTTTTTTTTTTTTTTTTTTTTTTTTATCTGTTCCTGATACAGAGATTTTAAAGGAAGAATATAAGCTTTGGTGGGCATTAACTGATATTCTCCCACTCCTTAGTGAGCTGTTGCTCAGTGAATTCCTGTGTGCAAGTGATATTTGTGAGAAAAACTAGTCTATGACTCTGAAATAAACACTAATTGCTAGAAATCACTTTTTCACCTGCAGTCTTCTAGAGATGACTAGTCATACAAGCCCTGGGAGCCCTATTCAGTCCCATCACAACCAAGTTGTTGGCAAAGGTGGAACTTTTCTCTTTCCTGGAGCAGGAAATAAGTAAAAGTGTTGTTTGTATGTTTTGTTGTTTTTTTCTCTTAAGAACCAACAATTCAGAAATTGGAAACAATTGGAAAGTGATGCAGTCACAGATCTCAGCAGCAAAATGATGACCGGGCTCCAGGCATGCATAGCTTTATTAGCAAGTCTATCTTATTATAGAAATATTAAAATCTAGAATTTCTGTAGAGAAACCCAAACCTTTCCAGGATGTGCCATGATCACTGGAAAAACCCAGGTCCACTAGGTGGCACAAAGAGGCCATGTAAAAGCCAGCAGTAAGCCGGGAGTGCCTTTCTTTCCATTCAAAATCTTTATGTATTTATGCAAAGATAAAGACTACAGACACAGCTATAGTCCAGCAATCCACACATGTCTTTTCATAAAGACAAGTTTAGATGTCAATGGGCTCCTTTGGACTAGAAGCTCAGTGAAAATCTCCCCAAAGAACAGTATCTGCTCCTGCAGACCTTGACTGACTCACAGCTGAGTAACCATGCTGAAACTCATTTCTGTGTTTGTATTCATGAAAATACAGCAATCTCTGCTCAGGAGGATTTAAACTGAGAAGAAGCTACCAATAATTCCATTTCTCCCTCTTTCATCCATTTGCCATCATGCTGTTCTACTTAGTTTAATTCCTGCACCATCACCTTGAAATGGTAAAGGACACACTAACAACACTGCTGGGGCAGCTCTGCTTGGATGATGTTGAGCCTGCAGCACACACAGGTGGGAGAGGCAACCACCATTATAAATTCCAAAGTTCACCCAAGCTCTAACATAGATACAACTAATGCTGAGACAAAACAATGGCAATTATTTTTATACTTGTAATTTTCAAAATGTCAAAGATCATAATATAGATGATACATAAATAAGGGCCAATTTCACCACAGGTGGGTAAGCACTTACCTGATCACATTTTGGGGATTTGTAGGAGTTTCCCACAGCCTTCAAAGGGTTGTTGCCCTTTTGAAGACTGCTTTGTCCAACCAACCTTTGCTCAAAACAGGGTCACCTACAGCTGTCTGGGACTGCTTCCAAGTGGGTTTTGAATACCTCTGTGGAGGAGACTCTACAACTTCTCTGGGCAGCCTGTTGCACTGTTTGATCACCCTCATGGGAAAAAAAATCGTATGTTTCAGTTGAATTCCCTGTATTTCAATTTGTGCTCATTGTCTTGTACCTCCCCTAGACACAACCAAGAGGAGATGTTTTACTTCCACCCAATTTACTCCCACTCCCACCCACCATTACACACAGGCCTCGCTCGAGCCTTTACTTCTCAAGGCTCAACACCCCCAGCTTGCTCAGACTGTCCTCATGTGAGAGATGCTCCAATCCCTTAATAATCTTTGGGCTCTTTTTGCACTTCCCAAGAACATCCATGTCCCTGTTGTCTTGGGGGCCCTATGGAAGACTCTGTGTGCTGGGAGTTTGGTTACCTTGGGCAAGCCATGTCTGCAGCCCAAATGGGCAGGGGATCTGCTGGAGCGCCCCGTGCCAGCTCAGCTGCTGCGTGGGGCAGAGATAACCCTGAGGAGATGGATGGGCAGGTTCTTTGCCTCTGTGGCCAGAGCCCTGTGGTAGCTCAGCAGCACCTGACACCATTCAGCTATTGCTGATCATGCTTGCACACATCAAGGCTTTCTCTCCCCCCACACCATTTACAGTGCAGCATGAATGGTAAGGGTTTAGGTCCAGAAATTAATATTGTTGCAGCTACTATGATCTTTGTGTGGCCTATGAAGGGTCAGAGGATGAAATGAAACTGGAATATCCTTTTATAAAAAGTTGCAAGACTATGGTACCAAAACCACACAACCCGTGGTTTCTTACACTGCTAGCAAAGACAAAGTATAAAGTTCTCTCCCAAGGAATGATCTAAACCCCCACAAAATCTACAGGTTTCATTAAGGAATAACAGCATTTGCCTAGGTCAGGTTGCCATATATAGATCAATTTCTATATAAAATATTTTAAATTGGAATATTGAATCTCTCAACCTTTGGTTTTTTGGTTTTTGTTTTTTGGGGTTTTTTTTTTGCTTGTTTGGTGGGTTGTTTTTTTTTGGTTTTTTTTTTTTTTTTTGTTTTTTTTTTTTTTTTTTTTCGCATTAATGTCAGCATTTCCCAGATTTAGGGTAATAAAAGAAGAATAAATTGGACTTTCCAACTGAACCCTAGAATTACTAATCTTTAGATTAATTACCTAAATTTTAGGGACATAATGTAAGACACAAAAACCCCAAAACCAGCTAATTATAAAAATTTCTCAAAAACACATAATGATGTTTAATTGAGAAATTCAGGTTTTAATAAATTGAAAACACCTGTCCTTTTATTATTTCTAGATTTCCCTGCTTCTGATGCTAGACTCAGAAAAACATTTGTTTTGTAGAAAAACAGCCCTAACAATTACTGTTCTCCTTTATTATTTCTCTGAAGCTATTTTCCCCCTCCCCAGCTGCAGACAATAGGACAGACAATTTGAGTATATGGCGTTTTAGCACAATTTCATGTCTGCCACTCTCCCCCTGCAACTGTCCCAGCTGAGGACTACACACAACAGCCAAGGGTGCCTGGTGAAGAGAGCCAAGCATGAAAGGTGAGAACAGCACGGGAGCCTCTGGGAGCAGAGTCCAGGTGAGCCACATTAACATCTTGCCCACATAAGGCTTGTTTTGGACATGGCATATGCAATAGTCCACAGATTTAAATCTTTCACAAATTTATGCTGGTTTTCTACTTCACTAATTGAAATACTTGAATCAAAAGTGAAGTTGTTTAAGAATTACTTTAGTTTTACTCTAGTTGCTTATCAAAATATATATAAAATAATAGTAGCAAGAAGGCAAACTGACAGCTATGCTACAATCTGAATATTAGTACTGTTTTAATACTAAAAATCTGCACAGGCTTTGGTCATCAAAATTATACCAATTTTATTATAATAGCTGTGTTTAATGAGGTCCTAATTATTTGTAATTGATATATCCATGTATGAATTACTATTAATTGAAGTGTTATGGTTTTAATTGTAGTGCCAAAATATGCATTTTCCATTAAGATAAAATACACTATATTCAATATAGTGGAACACTAGCTTTCAAAAAACTAATACCAATTTTAAAGGGTTTATTTACAAAATAGGATACTTAAAAATCACCACTGAAGGTGTCAAGTCCAGGACATGAGTTTTCTCCTTCTTACTAAATCAACCTGAGTAATTAACACCAATTAACATCAGTGGAAACTACTGACTTAATTACAAACAGTATAAATAGGTAAGTACCAGAGAAAAAATCTTCCTCATTCCTATAACTGGCAAATGCAAGATCTAGAAAGTAAAATGTACCCACCATGAATACACAGTTCCCTACGTGGCTGAGAAACCACAAGTGATACAAGTATTTTCTGGTACTTCTGAACTGGTGTTCTAAGCTGGTTTTAATCAGTAAAATTTAATATATAATACATGATACAATATTTTCAGTTAACACAGTATTCATAATTTTAAAGTGGAACAATCTTGTTGCAAACTAGATAAAATCTAAGCAAAAAAAATAATCTTTTCCCCCATGTTATTTAATGTGTTCTTTGCACCTTAGAGATGCTTATAATGTCAGCTGATAATCACAGGTTTTTACTGGATGTTAGGCAAGCAGAACAGGACCTTTTGCCCAGTGCAAGGATGGGCAGCAATGCATCCTCCCATTTCTAGTGCTCTGTATAATTCTTATGAATGCACATCATGTCACCCTGCTGGTATGTAATTATTTAGAAAACTGTATGTTCCTAATTCCATCTTACTTCAAAGCCTAAGTTTGAAATGTTTCTCTGCTAAACACACCAGATATTTTCAAGATTGGTTCTCACTTCATTTACCTAATATGTATGTCACAACATAAAGTCCTGTGTCACCTCTCCAACAGCTTAAGCTTAACTGTGTGAATGATCGCAGGTGTTGCTCTTAACTTTTAAAATCAACATTTGAAAAAACATCTCCAGCTATGATTCAAAAGTTTGAAAATAAAATACTTCAAGAATTTTTTAATATTTAAAGTATTTCAATACATCTTTAAAAATTTCTGTCTTCACTTTTCATTAAATATGGGGATATTTAAAATGCAATTTCACAGAAATGTTAAACAAAGGGATAGAACAAGTAATAAAGAATAATTGATATATATTTTTTAGTAAGAAAAGGTACAGTAAACAAAATGCATTCACAAAATAGATAATCAGTACTTTTAAATACCATAAAGAATAACCTGAAAACACTTGTTAGATGCACAAACAGGAAATCATCATGAGTAGAAAATATACACTGGCTCAGCATTTTTAACACAGTTGGGGATGTTATTCTATGTTAGCTCACACTAGATTAATAAACTTTTCCAATCATATGAGATAAGCAAACAAATAAAATGGAAAAATGAAAATAAGAGGTTTTCTAATCAATACTCATTTCCTTCTTTTAATTATTATGTTTCCAAAATAGTAACAAAACTTAGGCAGGCTTGATATAAAACCCATCAAACAGCCAACAAAAAATCAGTCACTCCTGCTGGTTGGGAAAGCAGAATTTTGCAAAGTTGATTACTAGACCTGTTCCCAGAGGTTTCAAAGGTAATCAGTGATTTGAAGAAAACAAAGGTGAAATACAAGTATTCATAATTTATAAAAAAAAGTCATTTTAACAAGGTAATGCTTCAGTTACTCAAGTACTGATTATTCCTTGAAGGTCACATTCCTGTGGAGAAAGAAAAGATGTTAAAATAAAGGTACCTATTATATTTTACTAATTAATATTAGAATAAAAAGTAGCAATTAGCTTTAGCCTCCTCAGATGCTCTTCTGTTATTCCCAAATATCAACTATTAGCATATTACTTAAAACTCTACACCACTGACCCATTGCTAAAATGATTTACAGAAGTAAAAGTGAGATGAGGAAGAAGAGGAAATTTCTTGAGAAGATGAAATCAGGTCAGAGAGAGACTGCTGTAACACTACAGAACAGTAATTACAGAGTACACTCCACTCTGCTAAGCTCCTAAGAAAGAATAAACAAGAAGGATGAAAGATGGTAACAGCACTGCTGAGACCACTCTACTGTAAATGATACATTTAAAAGGCAAGGTGTGCATAACAACTGCATGTGAATTCAGTTGTTAAAAAAAACATGTTCTTTAAAAATACACACTTCATGAAAATGGGGTATTTTCTGGTAAACTATGGTACAGAGTTGACATTGTTAAAACTAGGGATACAAATATTAGATAAAAATAGTGCACTACACAGTATCCTCCAAACATAGCAACTAGACTTTTTATTGCTCTCGGGACTCAGTGTAAAACAAGGAAGACTAAATACTCTACTGATGATACTTATTCTCAGAAATATATCACCTGTCATAATTTCAGTCAAAATGTTGTTTTACAACAAAACAGGGTATGCCATGGGGCTCACTAGTAAAGCAAAAGGCATATCTGCTGTTTCATCCCCACTATCAGTATCTCATTCGCTACAGTTTCCACTTTTTGCTTTGCCCAAAAATTCGCAGAAGAGAAAAATTGCTCACTATTGTTCATGCCAGGCTGAGCTCAGTTCTCAAGAAACCTGTGTTTTTGTTAACAAAAGTAAGCTTAGAACAAGCCATATGTATTTACTGGCAAAAATAAACTTTAAAATCTGTTAGATTCATCAGCTGTCACAGTACACATATTTCCTACAACAATCCTTAACTCTCCCTGTCCTTCCCCTTTTCACTACAACTCAATATAGGACAGGTGGGATTATACAGTCAATAATCAGGCCTATAACACTTAACTGGCAACATCTAAACCAACAACGATCTCTAAAAGAACAAATGATAGTGAAAATGAACAGGTAAGAGGCCGATTCTGATTTCTTTTTTATGAACTATAGTGATCACGATCTTAGACATTCATAGATTCAAGCACTAACAATGAAAAAATATATTAATTGTTTTTAAGCACTTGTTTTGGAGATAGTTTATCTAGTGTAGGGTTCAAATGGATTTGATTTGGACTCTTCTATGGAGCGTCTTTCCTTCATTGCTGTAGTTGGGAGAATTTCATGGTGTTCCTCTTAATATGAACCATTCATTGTTTGGAGATAACTATTAACAATAATAAACTGGTAAAGTATATTTGGATATAATAAACAGTAGTAATATGCAAGCAACATATATTTGAAAGTTGTCAGGTGGTACAAGTCCATTAAGAAAAAGAGGAAGGAGAATCCATTATATTATATGGTCTTTGGAGAGCACTTTGCATTTATTGGTTGCAATCAATATTTTATAGTAGGAGAGACAGCAAAAGCAGAACTTAGAAACATCTGAAGTGTGTTACAATTTACAAAGGTATTATTTAGAAACAGTTTAAACCTAACTCTTAAATAGAAAAGACTTGCTAAATTCAAGTCACTTACTTTTCAGCTGCTGCTTGCTCAGTTGTTCCTGCAGCGCTGCGCTCTGGAGAACGCGAGGGCGACCTCAGCGTGGAGCTGAGCGGAGGCGAAGCCTGGAGCGAGGAGGTGGAGAGGCCGTGCCGCCGCATCTCCTGGATCGCTCGCTCCCTGCCAACACACAGCAACCTCAGCTACACAACACTCTGGACTGTACCATGGTAAAGGAACAAGACAGAACCCTGCAAAAAGTCTCACTTTCTTGTAAAGCCCCTCAATTCTATTTCTGTTTTCATGAGAAGGGATTTTTTTACTTTTAGAGGCAGTGGTAAATTCACAAAACTTATGAAGAAATTCAGAAACTATGAAAATACTAAATTTTGTATGACAAGAGGAACAAGAGTGTTCCCATAAGTTTCTCACTATTCAAAAAAGCAACAGTTTTAAAAGTGAGAAAGAAGAAATAAGGATGGAGAGTCAACTCACTGAAAATCAGCATCTTACCGCTCAAATCGCTCAGTAGTCAGTTTCCTTTTTAAAACATCAGTGTCAGTCTGCATCTGTGCAAGTTTACTTCGAAGCATGGAAACCTCTCTATTATTGCTGCTTCTAAAAAAAATCATGAGAAGTAACAAAGTTTTCTTTGAACAATGTCAGCTAGGAGCTTAGAGAAGTTAGAGAAAGATAAAACAAAACCAGATACTGAACATGTTTCACAGACAAAATCAAAGACATATTAGAAGCAGCAAGAACTAAATGTTTCTGGAAGAACCTAAGGTGAGAATAAAGCAAGAAGCAGACTCACCTCTCACTACATCCTGACTATATCATGCTATTTTTCAGACAAAGGTAGACACAAACATGTTTGATAAAAGCAGACAAAACAATTAAATAATTAGTTTATTGTTTTACTGTTCTCTGTTGCAATTTGAGATAGTCTTTGTGTAAAAAACAAAGAAGAAAAAGGCAGTAAATATCCACAAAAAATTACAAACGTAACAGACAATGGCTTCAGTAAAATTTTTATCAAGTAGGCTAGAACTATGGCTAGCCACAAATACAGCTGAACCAAATAGAAGTAAAAATTGTATTAAAGCAAATACCAGACGAGCAAAACCCAGAGTCTGAAAGCTTGTTAACTACACCCATGGTATTTGGGCTTAACCATTTCAAGTGCAAGAGTCAAAATTAAAAAGAGCCTTGAAAATCTTCAGAAACACGATTAATATACTTCTCAGTAAATCATCAGCTTGGCTTATTCAATGCTTGGTTGCAAAATACCATCAATTACATTATAAAGGAAGAAAAAGAAATTGTTGCAAGTAAAATAAGTTGTCTAAGTAAGAATCTAGACAGCTATATTATTCCATACAGTCTTCAAAGCCACTGTGACATGGAGTGCTGAAAAGTCTCTTCTGGAGAAGCAAAGTTTTACTAGTTTATTGCTAAAGCACTGGACTGGAGTTCTGAAATATGAGTTCCACTCCTAGTTCAGTCACAGGCTTCCTGTCTGGCACCTGCTGGTCTTTAACTCCAGGAAGATGAAAACTACTCAAGAGATTTGTTCCAAATAAAACCGCAGAATGTTTTTTCCCATGTTCCCTATTCATCAGTAAAATTCCTAGAATGGTATCTTGATGCAGTATGTTGAGAACAGATGCAGAAGACATCTTGATGATATTTTATATGTCCTTCAAAGACAGGCATATGCTTTCAAGATGGAGGTAAGAATTCAGGGCCCAATATCATTATTGTAAAATAAAGAAAGAAAGTAAACAGTTTGTGAGTTCTGAGGTTATTCTGTGTCAATGACATTTAAACAAAATTAAGAGCATTAAGTAAATCACTCCAAAGTTTAGAAATATTTTTAAACCCTTTATGCAAAGTAATCATCATATAAGTTTACATGATGATACACAATTTTCAGAGGACATCTCTCTATTTCACAGTAGATACATACAGCTCTCCAGAAGTAGTTTAGCTATTCCATATTCTCTGTGTATTTAATTCTTTAACCACTCTAGAACATCCAGACCTCATTTACTGTACTATCACCCATGCAGTACTCAAAGTAAAACTACTTATTCTTTACACTCATAATTTCAGCACTGGAGAACTTCACAAGTTAAACTTAATTCTAAGACACCTTGTAAAGTCAGAGGCTTTAGCAGTGCTATTTTCTAAATAAAGCAGAGAGACAGGTAATATACAGCTAAAACTTTAAATCATGTTCTAAAATATTGGCACATGACATTTGTCAGTTAAGAGCTGAAATACTGCCAAGTCAATTGACAATTTTGCAAGACACAAATAATTGTCACATACTTCAGTCACAGCTGTGAGCATCTAAGTTCCTGCTCTTTAGAATACAACTACCACAAACCAAATAGTAGAAAATAAGATATATAGAACTAGTTTTGACACCTGAGCACTTGGCTGGTAATATACAGAACCTCTGAGATACAGAATGGAAAGCAATTCAACAGAATGGCCACTCTTCTTCCAAGAGAATGTTTTCCTTCTTCCTGCAAATATCTCACCCTATTAACACTGCAAGTATTAACATTTACAAAAAACAAATGAACCCTACTATGTGTGCAAAAGAAAAATAGTGAAAAAAATTACTATGTATGTAGTTGAAAAGTTTTATAATGTTTGTACACAAAGTAACTGGATTCAATTTAGTTAAAAAAAATCAATTTAATTGAAAAACTCCTTTCCTTTTGGTTTCTTTGTGTTTGTTTTTTGGGATTTCGTTGGTTTGTGTTTTTTCTAACTTTTGCATTGCACTTTGTAATCAGGATATTCTATTAGCTTATGTTTGTTGTATGTTTGTTGTTTGTTGCAATTAACATTTTTTCCCCAAGTAAACAAAAATCAACAATACTAAAACATGAAGCAATTAGTTGCACAGGGGCAATAATAATGTCATCATCTCCAGATTCACTGAGAACATTGCTACTTGAGGTGAACAATCATAAGCCACAAATTGTAGCCTCTACATAAATCAACGAAAAGCATATTTCTTGCACATCTGTGTCACCAAATTCCAGACAGTTTAAATTGGCTATATTTTATATCTCATAAGGAGTATTACCTGTTCCATTAAGTTCCACATGTTTCCTTTCCCTCCTTACGTTAGTATTTACTAAACAGGTGGACTTCTACATCTGAAATTCTGCTTTGACTTTACTCTTCACCACCATCTGCACTCAGCTGCTACTCCTCCTTCTTGCTATTTAATGCAGACCTACCATTAGTTCCTGCTGATGTATCCTTAGGAGAATTTCACACACATAAAGCAACTACCTTCTTAACTTCATTGTTACAAATAGATCATTCTTTTTCTATAAACAAGTGTTGCTAAAAGCTATTGCTTCTTTAGGCAGATCCACAGAAGAAGTTGTTGGCCACATTTAGTGGAGACATCAGGTTTACTTTTGTTTGTATTTCAAAGGAATAATAAGTGACACAGGGCTTTTTCCTCAACAGTTAGTATCAACAGCAGCAAAAGTACTTTTGCTTTTTTTAAAGCACAGTGACTTCACTATTTATAATGTAAGTGATGCTTTAATCAAAGCAAGGACAACAGGCATCTTCAGTAGATCAGGAATTCACATTTAGCGTTAATTTACTTGGGGGGGGTTGTTTTGTGAGCAGTAAACACGTGTTGAAACTTTGTGTAGAGGATGTTTCCTTTGGAACTCCTGTTTAAGTTTACTGCTTGCACTAAACTGATGTCTATCAAAGTGCTGATTAATTGAAAGCAATATGAAAGACCTGTAAAGAAACTTTAAGTAAATGATGCCACGAAAGGCCAAAAGACATTCCTGCAAAAATCTGCTCAGCCATACTAAACACCCAGATTTTGTGAATAAGTATTGTCACACTGAAATAGTTTTTTTGCAAACTACATAACACACACACATTTGTTAAAACTTACAGTTTGCTCTCAGCCAGGGTTAGCTTGTCTTTCAGTAACTGAATTTCGGTATCTTTGTCTTGGGACATTAATTGGTTCTGAAATTCTTTGTCTCTACTAGTAGCCAATAACGTTTCAAGATTCTGAACTGTAAGTCTCTCACTGGATAGCTGCTTTTTCAGCAACTCTCCTTCTGATTTTGTATCTTCTAATTCTCCTAGAACCTAAGGCACAAATATTTTATGTTATTAATACACTAATTTACAAACACAGAGAATTTTATTTTGTGAAGAGTTGTTACAAAAACTGAAATGATCAGAAGTTTAATAAAAAAGAATAGGAAACTGAGCTAACAAAATAATGTAAAGCCTATAATTATTTTAAACTGTGCTTAATTTAAAACTATTCAAGCTGTACATCTATCAGTGTTTTACTGGGAGCTGCATTATTGAGTGCTGGAAATGTTTAGGTAAGTACCTGGAACAAGAACTGGCTTTTAACAGGAGAACTTTGCACAAGTATGAAAACAGTATTTACTATACTTCATTCTATTTGACTAGGTCAGCCCACAATTAGCCTCTTGGCTTTTGCTGAAAATGTAGGAATACTTGTTTTCCTCTCCAGTTCTGTGAATATAAACAAATTTTACTTTTCTCAAGGTCTTGAATATTACAGTCCCAGAAAGGCTGACCAGTCACTAAATGAAGACAAAATCAGCTGTAAAGAAAAAGGTTCATAAAATATGAATATTTAGAACTTTTTAAACTTTCAAAATATTCAATAAATTCCAGCTGTATCTAAATTTCTTAATTGAAAATAAGCCATTAGGGTAGGGTCTTTACTATTTAAATAAGAAGTGCACTATTGGTTTTTTATAAAGTTTGAGTAAATTAAAAAACCAAAAAGAACTATATATAAGATCTGTCTACGGTACAGCTAAAACTCTACCTGCAACATTTTGCAGTGATAATGAATCAAAGAATCTTTTTGTACAAAATCCACCGCTACAGACCTGTATATTGTAAAATTTATAATTTACATAAAACCAGAAAACTAATGATATAAATTAACTTACCTTGCTCTAAGAAGTAATAATTTTCTCTACAACCTATTAAAAGCAAAGGAAGTTACTCTGTTACAGCAAATTAAATTTGCCTTTGCTGCTTACCCTTTCATAATCCATGCTTTTGGATGTCAGCTGTCGAGCTAAAAGTTCTTTGCTAGCCTCAAGTTTCACACAGAGTTCTCTCACAGAAGTGAGGTCTGCCAACACAGAAGCCTTATCCTGATTTTCACGTTTAAGATCCTCTTCCAATCTGGACATATTTTTGGTTATGGAGGAGATCTGAGACTCATATACTTGATGTGCAACAATATGCTAAACAAAACCAAATGCGGATACATTTTCAGTGTTAAATTCAAGAGTTTCCTGTTGAATTACCTGGGTGTTTTAACACTTCATTTTCCCTTCAAAGTTAGTTTTCCCTATAAAATTAACTTAATATTTCTTCCCTCTCCCTAAAATATAGCTAAGGCAACTAATAAAACATCTCTGCAATTTTTAATCACCAACTTGAGTAATTAGACAAGTACTATAGAAGGGTGGAGCAAGATTTAAAAAAGCTTAACCCTCAAACATACGACTTATTTTTTAACTCAGCTTATAATATCGTCTCTTAACTATTTGTGGCTAATTAAAAGTATGGGACAAAATGCAGTTAGTCCACCACAATTATGCTCTAGAACTTCTCTTATTGCTTCTAAAATATAAAACTCTGTTTCTAAAATATAAACCTTATGTTCTATAACATTGGTCTAGGATTCAGTATTACGGAATTGTGATTCTGAATTTGGATCTCTACCAGATTTTTACCTTGAGTCCAGCCACCAATGCTTCAAATACTTAATTCAAAGCTTCAAAGAACTTTGAACTTTAAGAACTAAGCTTGCAAAATACTCATAAAGCTATATGCAAATGTTCTGAAGCAACTAAAACGTTACCTATAATGTCATAGTAACAGTGATAACCCAACAGAAGAGATCTAAAACTAAGAAAATATATGCCACGATTCTAATTTTGGGCAAGCAGGGGTGAAGCAAAGCACATCTAAACAAAATCAGTTACTGTTTCAAAAACTCCAGTGTTTGTATTTGGAACATTTACATATAGAAATTATTTTCCATAAAGGTGTTAAAAATCATACATTGACTTCATTAAAAAAGCATTTGGATGTATCCCACTTTCCTAGATGGAATTTCATTGCATAAGTTATTACCCCTTGAATCTCTTTTTCCAGAAGTTCTACTCTCTCTCGAAGATGTTTCCGATCCGTATCTACTGAAAGGAGTTCCAGTCGTATGGAGCTGCTTTCTCCTTCAGCTTGATGAGCCTTTATTTCCCAGCCTTCAGCTTGTGTATGCAGCATCTGGAACCTCTCTAACAATTCTTGGTTTTCTTTTTCCTAATGAAACAGTAAATCACTCTGCAATGATCAATATACCCTCAAGTTGTTTGATCTCGTTTCAAGACTGTTCCTTACAATATCTCTTCTTTTTTTCTCCCTAGAAAGCAGAACTTCCTTCATTTTCTTAATCCCACTATCCAGCAACTACTAAAATTCATCATTCCTTTTCCATGTCCAAACAGCAAATAAATGTAGTGATGGCATTCAGTTTTATTAAAATGGAAGTACTTACACTTAGAAGTTGTTAATGAGTTTTAAGGCTCCCAGGAGAGGGGTTATTTTGCATCTCTCTGCATTGTCAAGGGTCACGTTACTGAGATACAATGCGTGCTGCCCTTTCCAAGAAATTCTGTTTTCAGCTCTTTTAGTTACCACACCCTTATAAATATTTGTATTACACCAGTGCCTCTAACAATGGTAATCTACTAGAGTATATATGGCTAAGGTACATCACAGAGGTACAAAAATGCAAGTTTTGGTGCTCACCATTTGTGCAGTGATAGCATGAATGTTGCTTGTGAATTTTACTCTGGCCAAGTGCGTATTGTAGGGCAAGGATAAATTTTTCTTGTTTACCTCCATTCCCTGCTCACATAATGTGCAGTAGGATATGTACATTGGTAGTATAAATCAGAATTATCTAATGAGAAATGCAACTGTTTCTGAAATTCTTTCTGTGTATGATCAGAAGTTTCATAAGTTTCCTGCAGAACTTGGAAAGTGCAGACAGGATCAGGTGGAGTATTGGGAAATAGAAATTTGTGATTTAGCAAGTGAACACTGTGCAGAAAAATAAATCCTTGTCTCCACAAGCATTATCCAGATATAATACTAGAAAAATCCCTGAAATCAAGCATTCACGATTGGTTTCTGGCTGTGTATTCTATAGATTCCTGGTACCTGACTTGAATAACTGGATTATCATTTGCCAAATATGTAGTTATGTCTGTAGCTGAAGTACTTTGAAGATATGATATATTGTAAAATTCTCAAAAAATAAACTTCAAATATTTTAGATTGATAGTTCTAAGCTAACCTACTACTGACCTTAACTTTTTCTCTATGCTTCAGTTTCTACTTGTAAAAAGTGGTTAAATTCACATGCATTCATCTAGACATGCAAATCAGATCAAAACTTATTCTTCCCTTCAAAGTCACATAATAAATTTGCCAGTTCATGTTGTCCTGATCCAAATCCTATTCGTTCCAAATTATTTTAAGTTTTAACTCACAGACATCATGTTTTGAATCCAAGTATCAGGATAAAGGACATTTAACCAGAGCACTATTTTAACAGTACTATTTTTACAACTTTATGCAGAACAATATATAAAATTTTTTGTTTTCCAAAAGAGTAAAAGAATTAAAATCATTGTATAAGCTGCTTGCTGCCTACAATCATGAAACAGTACCTGTTATTTTATTGATTGCCTGGTCAAAACCCAAAAAAAGCAAAATAACATTCAAACATGACATGTTTGTCAGTCTCCAGCATTATGGCAAACTGAAATACAATCGATGAAATTGTGATGTGCTAGAATTAATTAGTGTTTCAGATCTAAGAAGGTGTTATATCAATCCCACAATAGTAGCTTTAAACACTACAGAGAAAATAAGGAAAAATAAAAGAAGGAAATGGGACAGGCAGGGAGAGCAGCACCTTAACCATGTAATTCTTACTTTGTTTTACTGAATGCAGTAATGACTGCCTACAGATTATATTTTTACCTTTGAAGCTATCAAGTTCTCAAATCTGGAGACTTCAGTTATATAACTATGAACCCTGGTTTTCATTTCTTCTTTTTCACGTATTGCATCTTTAAGCTCGGTACTGATAGCCTAGAGAGATTGCATAAAGACAAAATTGTTCTTTGCAGTAAATTAATCACTATATAATACTCTATCAGATTAAATCAAAGTAATTGTATATGCCCTAGATTTTTTTCTATTCTACTAACAAACCTCTTTGGGATTTGTAGGGTTAGAAATATTCCCTGCTACCTTAGATACACCAAAGAGATTCCAGGCAAGTATAATCACAAAAAACAACGACTATCCCCCCAGTTCATAAAACATGCAGCTTCCCTGATGACACACCCTACTGATCTTTGGAAAATTTGACATACTGATGTTTGGGAGCTGGAATTTTTCTAGCTTTAAGATTCACTATCCCTGAGTAAAGGAAAGTTTAAGTTCAATAGAAATCCAACTTTATAACAAAATACTATTTATTTTAAAGTAGAATTGCAAGACTAAATAACTAAATGCACTACTAAGATCATATTTAAACATCAAAAATGCACCATGGAATTTGTTTGAGATATTTGAGCTGCTAATTCTGTCCCTCCCAGGTTCAGCTCTCATCTCCTTCCAAGTCCTCTAGCCCAGAGAGCCAAAATTGCAAGAATCTTTTTCTATCTCCATGATCAAATGTGGGGAACTAAAGGATGCTGCCTTATTTCTTCCCCTTCTTTTTTTTTGTGTTACATTACTATTCATTAGCCTTTTTACTGTATGCCTTATTTAACATATGACAAAATCAGTCTGCTTGTCTCTGTGGTAGCCTTCCCAAACACTGGGAAAACTTTCATCATCACATTATGATAACATCTAGTATTTCGTCTTATTAGACACCTGTGTGGAGCAGGTCTAATTTCAATAGTACATCCACATATTTATATATTGCACTATAGGTTTTGCAAGAACTGTTCAAGGTCCTACATCACTTTATTGAAATATGTTGCTATATTATACTTTGTGGCATTAGACTCAGCCAGGGTGACTGAGGGGAATTTAAATAAATGGTTCAGTTAAAAATGTCCGGATTGTTTTTAGTGTTGGCACTTACAGTGAATTCAAACAAACATTTTTGTATCTCAAGATCAAAATTTTAAAAGGCATTTGAGTTTCATGAGGAGCTACAATAGTTGCATTTGCTATAGAAGTTGAATATAATGAGTCGCAACAAAATTCCAGGTTCCATCTTAAGATAACTCTCACATACTCTCTACACAGATTTTCTAATGCTCTGCCCAATAAAAGATGTTACTTACCCTATAAAACACTGAACATTTTTATTATATATTGTCCACAGAAACATTGTATACCACAGGGACATCCATGTCATGCACTTGGAGGCTTTTGGTCAGCAATAACCAACTGCTGCATGAAACCAACTCATTATTCCTCCAACGCTCTGATCTCCAAAACACCCTAACCTCAAATATAGCATACCTCACTCAATAAATCCAGTGCTTCATGGAAACCAGATGGATGAAATTAATTAATTGCTTCACCAGAATAAATTCAGATGTGCTACCAATCTCCCTCCTCTCCCTCTCACTTTCACCTCATAATCTGATGTCTGCTTTTGGAGTTTCTTTCTCTCTTAATAATCACTCCTACAGGTAATAAAACCCAGTCTTTACCAACTGAGTGCCAATTGCCAAGTGATATAACCAATTAACAAAATTTCATTATATTATAAATAAAGTTCTAGATTTATTTTATTTATATTTCTTTTTTCATCTGAGGAATGGTTACCAAACCGAAAGGTTGCCCATTTCTCCCTCACTGCATTGACTACACTTAAGTATCTGAAGTATTGCTTTTACAATTTCTGCTCAGTGATCTTCCACATCCCAGTGATCAAGAAATACCAATCATGAAACACATCAATCAAAATTGAGGATGTAACAGTTTTGATGCAAGCAATACATAGTTTAACACATCAGTATCAGGTACTGTCTTCATACCTGGTTTTCTCTGGCCATTGTAGCCAGGTCATCTTGCAGTCTCCTGTTTTCTTTCAGAGCCATTTCCTTCACTCTTCCCATTTCTGCAAGCTCTAGCTGGGATGTATCAAGCTGGCGACGTAAGGTGGATATCTCCCGGTCTCTGTTTCCCAGCATGTCCTGCATCTGGCTATCAAGTGAAAACATTATTAAAGTTGTCCTTTCTTGTCCTATACCACATACTGCTGAAAATAATCAGATAAAATTATTGCTCTCTGAATGATGACAAACTGAGTCTAAATAGAATGTAAACTAAGTACGCAAAATGTCAATACGCTGAAGTAAGATGGATTTAATCGTCAGTTTTGACGATGTATTTGGTAAGACATATCTTATTAAACAAAGAGCAATTACAGATACCTATGTTTATCTGTCTTTGGTAGTGATTATGGTAACTGCATATTTTATAAGCTATAAAGGAAGAAGACAAATAATTTACACTTGAAGGACAATTATGAAAAGAGAAATGAAAAGATTAACCAAAAAATTAGAAATATAAACATCCGTAAACTTAAGTGAACTTTTGCATTTTTTTTTTTTTGTCACATATAATTCATGCACCAATGTTGCAAATATTCAGTTACATTGGTCTTCAAATATTTAAATATTGGTGTTTAAATTTTTGCTTTTAAGATGCTATAGTTTAAAAAGTCACACTTAAAAAGAGGAAAGAACAGAAGATCAGAGGAAGCCCAGCTAAAAACTACATAAATACAATTTAATTAAGGCTGTACTTATATCTTAAGCTAGAAGAACTAGATTGGCAATCATTAAGAATTCAGCTCTGAATCTTACCTGGGTCAATCTAATACCTAGTTATAGCAAACTACTTCTTGACCAAGAGTTAGGAAATGTTACCAGTTTAGGGAAATTGATACAGACAAGCAATTGTTAATGACTGTTGAAACAGTTCCTTAGCAGCCTGCAATATAATTGCAGACGAAGTGTCTTCCAAAGCTGAGTACATCTTTCTCAACACTATACACTCCTCTACTTGACTCAAATGGAATTAACTCAATTTCATCAAAATAACTAAAATAGCCATCTAGTTTCACTTTGAAACTACTACATAAAACAAAACCTCCAAAGAAGGCATCCTACTCTTAACTTACTCTGTTGAGGACTCCAGCTCAGAGAGAGTTAAACGTAAATGAGCAATTGTTTTCTCCTGTGGAAAAAAAATCAAAAGTTGTATCAGGTATTATTATATTGCAATATAAGAGAACACTTCAAGTTAAAGAACTTTTAATATAAACCTTTTGGTTCTTCACCAATAAGTAATTTCCAGGTTTATTTACTGATAAAGGATTGTCTTGTCATTGAAACAGATGGAAGTCAGCTATAGATTTTGTCACTTCAGGCTAGTACTTTATATCTCAATAAATACCCCCACATGTAAAATGCAAACAAATGCTTCTTTATTTTCTTGGAGTATTTAGAGAATACAGAAACATTCATAATTAAGGTTCTATTGAGTTGGCAAATTACTCTGCATTGGGTCCAAGCATAGTGCTTATGTGCTCTGCACAGACTTGGTCATCAAGGCAAAACGTTTCCCTAAAACATAACTGTTTTAAAAATCCCCTGGTGGAATGTAAAGTAGTACTTTTATTGGACATACCCTGTTAGCTAGGTTGTCATCTAAGCATGCAATTCTTTCTGTTTTTTCATCTACGGTTTCTTGAAGACTGTCCTTTTCTTTGTCCAAAACACTAATTGTACTTCTCAGCACACTGACTGCTTCTTCCTGTGACGTGCTCCTCTGGTTTAACCTATCTAAAAACAAAAGAATAAGTGCTTTCTATTTTAAAATCACGAAATAAGCACAAAAATAATTACAATTACCTATTATCTCTTTCAGCTTTATAATTTCATCATGAGCTGTCAGCAGTTCATCCTTTTTGAGGGACAATCTGTGCTGTAAATCTTCAATAGACTTCTGGTGTTGGTCATTTAAAAGCCTGAAAAATGAGTATACAGTTGAAAGAAGCTTGGAACTTGAAAGTCTTCAGCTTCTGCTCTTAAGCTGCTTCAAGTGCTGGAACAGTTCCAGGATAACCTCCTGACAGGGCTGTCTCACCAACCAGCAGCACAGGGTTGTGCCATTACTAATCATCCTCTCCCTTGAGGAGAGAGAGGACTTAAGGATTGCTGAAGCCAACACCACTTGGACCCTTGCTTCAAGTTCACCTCAACATCAATGCAAAATGGAGCAATGGAACCTTGGTGGAGCAACCACTTAACCAGAAACATTCACCTCCTCTGATTTCTGTTACTCTTCATAACACTACTTGTATCTTTTGACTCTTGTTTTATAAAGTTTTTGATATGGAGCTCATAGCAGTGATTATCAGCCCCACCACATTTTAAGAAACAACCAAATTGACAACTACAGTTTTGATCCTACTTTTAAAAAATAAAGAGCCTAAAAGATATTTGAAATCATCTACCTACATAGTTGTTTGTCTTGGAAAGAAATATCAAATTGACTTAGGAAAAAAAAATCAACAAAATTCTGAAGTAACTACATGGATTATTTATGAAACAGGTAAAGAAAAAAATCCCTCTCAAGTGGGATCCCACAAAAGCTAGAGAAGCTTTTCATTCTTAAAAAACCTCACTAATGTAGAATACAGCATGTCTCTTTATAAAGATTGCTGTCATCCACTTCGAAGTGAAACTTGAGAGGGGGAAAAGAAAGGGCAAGGGGGCAAACACAGCATTTCCATCATGCATAAAATAAAATCAAATGCTAACATAAATGTAGCTCTACTCTTCATTGTCTTCTTTTTGCAATATTAATGCTTTACACTGAAATTAGAGGAACCTAATAAGGCTTTTTAATTTTCATGATTCTTGTCACAATTTTATCAATACACTAATTGTTTTACCCAACTCTGTGCAGTTGGGTGCATTAGATGAACTGCAAGGCCTGCTGCTCAGCTTCAGTTCTTCCTAGGATTCCCTCACGTGCTGTGCTGTTACAGGGTGCTGTGTGGTACTGCTCAGGTGGGGAATGGGGGATACTACACAGACCCTGGTTTCCCTTGTAAAACATCCGAAAGATGTCATCTACAGCATTACCCATCCTATAATGATCTGTTACATCAACGGCTCTCATTTCCACCCAAATTTATTCAATACTGTTTTCACTTTCTCTAAGCGTTTTCCTTGTTCTGTGACATTTAGACACCTGATGGGAAAGCAAGTAAACTTGCTTTACTAAAGCAAGTTTAAAAAACACAATGATCCTGCAACCTTAAACAGACCTTACAAGTACATGACGATACTTAAATCCTCCAGTTCTAAGCAAGCTGGTCAAATCCCACAGACTGTGTCTACGGATCATAAGATATTGGTTCTCAAAACTGTAGGTGCTACTGCTGCAGTTTAAAAAGGCCTCTGTCTTCTTTTTAACAAACAGAGTTTGGGAATCCTTTTAGAAACTTTCAGTTCTGCTACATTCATAAGCAGAAAATATGGTTATTGCATGAAACAATTCTAGAATGAGCCATAAAAATTATCAGTATATTTGGTCATCAAGTAAGTCCAGGAGAAGCTTGCTGTGAAAAGCTACCACAGCACTTTCCTCTCTTACTTTTCTTTTAACATACAAGCTGTACCAAGTGATTTTTAAAATATTTATAATTACAGTCTTTCCCAGGAACTCAACTCTGTTATACAGTTACAGAATAAACAGAATTATCCTAGCATCTGTAAAAGATCATCACATTTTGTATCAGACTTACTGAAGTGAGCAAATCTCAGCTTTAAATTGAGAAGAATCGTCAGAAGTCTGGGCAAGTTTACTTGACTTCAGATTTAACTCATTTTCCAAATAGTTTATTTTTTCTTTCAGGATAGAGACTGTAGTCCTTAGTTCACACTTTTCAATCTGAAGCTGCAATTTAAAATAAATAACCAAACATTACTATTGCAGAAAGCTATCAAACTTGGCTTCTAAATAAATTAAAGTTGAAAACAGATATTAAAATTAATTTCTGGAATAGTCTATCCTATTTTAGAAATAATAAAAGCTTACTTCCTAAAAAAGCACTTACTCCTTTAATGTTATTCTCCAGTTCTGAAACATCATGCTGCAGCTTTGATTTTTCATGGTCTGCTGCTTCCTGATGCATCTGAGAAATATAAAATTACATGTAACAATATTTTTAGATTTAATCAGAGAAACTTAAGTTTCATGTTTCAGAAAATACTGCTTTACATTCTCAGATAAAAGACCAAATGCAAAGCTCTCTCTGTAAAACTACACATTAGCTGAAAATACATTACTGTAATTTAATATAACATTACTGTTTTGGGTTTGATTCTTGGTTTAGATTTTTTTAAAATAGTATATTTATATTTGGTCCCAACTAAATTAATATTTGCGAGTTGTCATAGAGTTTATTGAACTACATGAGGTCACGTGCATGTATAACTTAGTGCCCTAAAACATTTTAAATAAATTTATTCAAATATTATTAATTACAACATGTAGTGTACACTACAAAGCTAATTGGCCTTTCCCTAAATCTATGAAGAAACTTTTAAAGATTACTTATCTCTTCACTGACTTCTGTGCATAACCACAGTGAAACAAACTCTCAAACTTCCTAGAAATGCCTTAGATTAGTGTGTTTGTAAAGGTATTTCAAAATGGCACACATATAAAACATTGGTAGCCACCTGTTAGAAGAAAGGATGGAACTGGAAACACACCTCTACTACTGCATGCACATACTTTAAGCAAAGAGGTCAAATTTACTGCCACTGCATTCAGATACACAACAGGTCTTTATTTTTGTGGTAGTAAAATCAAACGATGGAAGCAATCATCATACAATCACTACTGACATATGTTGTCCTGGGATAAGTCCATTAAAATTATTTTTAAAAAGTTTTAAAACATTATATTAATGACCAATACAGAAGAAGCAGGGAAACAAATCCCCTGAAATCATAGGCTCTTGACTACAACCATTAATGCACTTTAATACCAGATATCATATGCTCATAGAATCATAGAATCATTTAAGTTGGAAAAGACCTCTAAGACATGAAGTCCAACTATTAACCCAGCAGTGCCATATTCAACACTAAACCATGTCCCTGTGTGCCATATCCACATGCTTTTTGAACATTTGCAGGGTTGGTGATTCCACCACATTCCTGGGCTGCCTGTCAAGATCATAGTAACAGGAAAATCACTGCATTAATAAACATTTTTTAAAGGTCAGAAATACTGAAACTTGGACTGAATTTATGTTTCATGGCTCAGTTATGTACCATTTAAAATATAATCTGCTAAAAAGTGCAACAGCAACTAAAGATCAGCAAAAATGAAAAAGCCCATATAGTACCAAATTTGTAGGATAAGAACCATATATGAATGTGACAGTGTGCTTCACCCCATCCCCCTCTTTTTTTTTGGTTAACCAATAGTCACTAGTGGCCCCCCTGATAGCTGCATCCAGCTCAAGGAGAACTCTGGGATGAGAGCTAACAGCAGATAGCTAAGGACTGTAAGTCTTGCTTGGCAGCAGCTGAGGGCTAGTTGAGCATGTGGCTACTGAAATACTGCTGGTATGCAAATAGAAGTCAATCATCCTAATCCATGACTAGTGGACAGCCCACAGCCCATTGAGCTCTCCTGCATGGCAGCAGGCTGCACACGAGGATCTCCCCTTGAGCTGAGAAGCTTCTGAAGGTTACTCGTTAAGGCAGAGAGAATCCTTATTGCATCTCATACTCAGCTAATGAGCTGGGAGTGAGAACACTGAAAAGTTGAAATGTTAGCTAAATGATATACAGGATTGATTGCTATAATCCTTTAGACACAAACTATTGACCAAGTATGGATCCAGCCACACTCCTCTGAGCAATCTGGAAGGCAAGAAGACCCTTCTGAACCTCATGACTCAATGGGAAGGTCTCCCTGATAGTTTTGTCTGACCTTGGCCTCTATGCAGCAAATACTCAAATGTACCTTACCATCAAATCTTGTTAAACCATTGCATCTACCATTGAATTTTAGAAATTAACTGCCTTAAGTGAACAAAATACATTGTTACTTCTCTCTTGTGAGTGAAGTGCATGATTTCTTCAAGGCACTTCAGTGCATTGGAGAAACGACACAACAATGACATCGAGACATCCTCAAAGTAGTGCATATGCAAGAAGTAGTCTGTGGCTGGGCCTCCATATCTAGGTCTCCCACACAAGGTGATGACACATTTGCCCTTTAAAGCATGTTCCTCTACCCCTGCCTGGGACTGTGTTTACAGGAAAACATGGTAATTCATAACAGTAACAATAACAATAATAGATATTTGATAATAATATAAAATTCATTATGAGTTTGAAATCCAAAGTTATTGAAAAGCGGAACTGATAGACAGCCAAAAACAAACACAGCATTATTGCATAACCCTTCCCTATATGTCACCTCAATATAAGCAATGAAGCTATAAAAGCTCACCTTTAATTTATCTTCAAGACTTTCTTTTTCTGCCATTAGTATTTTAAAGTCAATCAGTGCAATGTCTCTTTCTTCTTCTGTGTGACTTTGAGAAAGAAAACTGTGTTTTGCTTCTCTTCTCATCCTGTTCAATTCACTCTGAGACTTTAAAAGATTAGTTTGTTAGCATACATGGGACTACAATATAGTGTACACATGAACAAATGCTATAATTAGAGAAGTCCCATTACAGTCTTATTTTTCTCTAGATAACTAAAATGTATTCCCTAAACTACTCAAAATAATCATCATTCTTTTCTTTTACTGTCCTAAATATCGCCTAACTTCACTGTTCTCTTATCAGTTAACTACTCCTTTCTTGATCCCTTGCTGTATCTTTACACAACCTTCTCATGTATTCTACTGCTTTTTCCTGATGTTTACCATTTACAAAAGCCAGTACAGTAATTTTTAATAGCTTTCAAATTAGTAAACTAACTAGAATACATAATTTATTAACAAGTAATAAAAACAGGTATGTATTTTATTAGCCTTGGTTATGTTCTACTAGGTTTTAAATTTTAATTAACTAACAGTACAAGAAGTGTTAATTGGTTATTTCAATGTTAACTATAAACAATCTCTTCTTACCTGCTCATAAAGAACTTTTAATCTATCTCTTTCTGCAGTCAATAATTTGACATTGGACTGAATTTCTATCATGTGTTTTTCAAATCTGTCTAACACAGACCGCAGCTCATCTCTTTCTCTAGTGATTGATTTAAGCTCTTCGCTCTGAAAAGTGATCAATAAACTGTTGTTAAAATTTGCTAATTAAAATGTCTGAAAAATTAATGCCATAAAATAATTCTTCCTGTTAGCAAAACATAAAAAATATATTCAAAATAACTGTAATCACAAGAAAAATTACACTGGTGGTGTAATCTAAACAACAGGAACCAGCTGTTATAAAGAAAAAGCAAAGGCGCTACCAGTAAGATTTCAACCTTTTTCTGGTTATTATCTAGCTCTGTTTATTTCAATAAACTGATCAATAAATAATCAGCGTTACTGTAAAATGTGACAAGGAAAGAAAAAGAAAAGTTCATTGGAGTTTCTCTCAGTTGACCTTCTGCATCAAGAAGGTAATTCAGAAAATTACTACAGTCATTTAATGCCAATAAATTTTAAAATATATTTGATGGCTTCTTAAATGTTTCTACAGTATTTTTTTCACTTATCTTGACAGCAAGAACTTTACCTTCTCTGCAGTCCTGCGGCTTGGGCTAGGCCTTAGTTTTACCATTTTCTGAAGATAGTCTAATTCTCGCTTATAGTAGTCTCTGTCATCTTCTAAGGTCTTTACAAATGCATCTAGACGAGATGGAGATTTGTCTCCTAGGGCAATACCATAGTCCAATCTCATTCTTTCAATTTCAAGGACAAGTTCTCGTTCTGGAAATAAAAAAAAAAAAAGAAAGAAAAAAGCTCTATAGGGAAGTAATGAATTTCCTCAAAGACACTGGTAATTGGGATGGATTAACTCACACCAACCATCCAGGCAGCAATCCTGCTGAACAGGATGTAAGAGTTCTAAAGGCTAAAGAAGGCTAAACACAAATGAATAGCATAAGACCATCAGAGGCCTCACAGCACCTTGAGCTGTATTGACAGAGGGATGTGATTATTCTCCTTTATTTAGCACCCATGAGATTGCACTTAAAATACTGTTTTAAGGTTTGCCCCTCCTACAACAAGAAAGATGTACATAAATTAAATCCAAGGCAAGCACTGCAAGATTGTCAGGGAACAGAATACTGGCTCTGTGGAGAACACCCAAGGGAACTGGGTTTATTCAGCCTGGAGAAGTGCTGAGAGCAAAGGGCAGACTGACAGTACCATGAGGCACTTACAGATAATGTAGAGCAAGTTTTTTCACAGGTACATAATAGGTAAATAAGGAACAGTGGCAATTAATTGCTACAAGCAATTACAAACAATTGTAATATGGGGAGAATAATTTACTCTGACAACTGAAGAACATTAGAGATATTGTGGAATTTTCATCCCTGGAGGTTTTCAAAATCTAAATGGATAAATCTCAAGAAATGGATCTGAAGAGTTTTGGAAATTACTTTGTATGAAACTACCACAGAATTAGGATAAGGATGTCCTGTGGGAGCACAGTAAAAAGATGAACTTTCAGTTCTCACATAGGGAATGAAAATATCTTTTTATGACAAGAGCTTTCACTTCAACTACGACTGGAGAACTATGGTCTTATTTTAATTTATATATATCAAAAGTCTTTTAGTACTATTAACTCTATGTTTACTAGGTAGGTATTCTATTTAAAAAATTATAGAAAAGCAATTTCCAAGAATCTACATTTGATGATTTACCTTTTCTTTCTAAGTTCTCTGTTTTTTCTGTCAGCCTTTGCTTCTCTTGTTGAAGCTGGTTTAACAGCAGCTCAAGATTCCCTTTTTCATCTGTTTTCCCAAAGAGTTCTTCATTCAGTCTCTCATTCTCCTTATGACATGAGCACAACTCCTGAAGTAACAAGTATTATAAAAATTAGAACTGCCAATAGAGACACTTGGGAAAAAAAATTAACATTTTGATAGTTTTTTTAATATACAACACTGTTTACTTCTGGTTGACCTGGATGCTTTATGCTTTAACATTAGTTGCAGGCCATCATTGTATTTCTACTACATTTTATTAAGCCTAAGTAAGCATTACTTTTTACAAGGTTTGCAATCAGCAACAAGAAAAGCAAACTAACCAGTAGGATAGTGGGATACAAACATGGGAAAAAAAATTAACGACGAAAGCAATAAATAATTTTAAGGGCATTTGGTAATAGTGTTAGTGTTAAAGTGCATTACAATACAGCACCTCAGTCAATGCAATTCTGACACATCTTTCCTATAATCTGATGTCCTGAAAATTAAGTATTTTTGTATTTGCAAGTTCCCTAGGCAGATTAAAAGAAAACACTGCACTCAGCTAATACACAAGTTGCCATATATACTAGAAAGAGTCTGGTCTTCAAAGAATTTATAATAGTGATGCTTTTCATCTGGGGCCTATGCTTTGTTTCTGAGTGAGCCAAGTATTGGATAATTTTTCACATCCCAATTAAGAGACAAAGCAGTTTCAAGACAATGAAAATCCTCTGGGATGTTATAACTCATCTGTGGTAAAAATTATTATGTCACCAGGAAATTATGACTTCAGATAGCAGAAATAAGGAAATGTACAATAAGGACATAGTCAACCATACTGTCTACAGAAATTTCTTTCAGTTTATTTTTGCAACAATATGATGTAGCTTCTCTAGCTCTTTCGTTTATTCGTTAGTAATTTTTGCATCAAAGGTTCAGGGTACTAAAGAAGTTATCTTGCTAATTGTAAAATTGATTTATCTTATAATAAATGAAACAATCATGCGGATGACAGCATGATAAAAAGGGTACAAACAAGAACAGAAAATATTTTTACTTACTGATTTAAGCCTTGTTATCGTTTCTTGTAGATCCTGTATTTCACTGACTTGTCTTTCAATTTCTTTCTATCAACCAAAATTAACCTATATGTTAAGAGTTACATATTCAAAATGACAAAAATACCTTTGTTACAAAAAAAAAAAAAAAAAAAAAAAAAAAAAAAAAAAAAAANAAAAAAAAAAAAAAAAAAAAAAAAAAAAAAAAAAAAAAAAAAAAAAAAAAAAAAAAAAAAAAAAAAAAAAAAAAAAAAAAAAAAAAAAAAATGGTAAGAAATGAAGTTAGAATGAAGTTAGTTCCTTGTAATAAAGTAGTAAAGCTTCTAGGAAGCGAAAGCATAAAAAAATTGTGGTAAAAACACCCACGTTCTTTTGGAGCATAATGATTAAATTAATCACTGCATGACTCCTCATAGGAAAAAACCCTCCAAATATATATACTGCTGTTGCAAATATGCATTACCTCACAATAGCTTTAAGTACCTCAGCATTTTATTTCATATTAAGCTAATAAAAGAAAAAAGACAGATTGTCCCTTAACTAAAATAATCTCAATTTAATACAGTAAAAAGACAAAATAGTTGCAAATAATCTACTTTAACTGAGAAATTCCATGTAATATTAGGAAAACTGGAAAAAAATTATTTTAATCTTCATTTCATGAGCTAATAAGCCTTTCATTGCAATTAGAAGATATAAAACCAAGTAAAATGAAACAGATCTTTCACTCTGTGACATGTTAGTGATTACCTTTGCTTCTCCTATTTCCTTATCTGCAGTCTCAAGCACTATTTCTTTGTGTCTTTCCAACTGCTGTGCCAAGTGATCTATTTCATTCAGTTCTTGACACAGTTCTTCATTTTTATTGCTTAAATCCACTACCTCACTAGTCACATTTTGTTTAGTATCCAAGAGATCTTGAATGTGATTTTCAAGTTCTTTGTTTTTTTTCTGAAGATAATCAACCTGAAAGACATTTTTCATTAAAATATTAATATGCATTGTTAAGTTAGGTAGCAAAAGTTCCTCCAAATCTTCTGAAATACAGTATCTCTATATGCAAAGTAAAAATGCCAAAAATGGCAAGATTTTCTATTTTTAGAACTTAATGCTTATCAACCTGAAAAAGAAATACAATGTTGTGAATTCTCTCCTAGTCATGAATACTGCTATCTAAAGACAATCATACATTTCTTGTCAAATAAAAGCTGTATATTGGGACCAAGTCTGAGCAAATTAGTCTTGACGGTGCAAAACCAGCTTCATGCAGCTCTGGGCTCACTCCCTGTACAATAAATTTGTATTCCTCATGACTTACTAATTCAGGATCACTGAGCACAGCTGTCCTGCTTCCAAGTCATAACTCATTCTAGATTTTTGCAGCACTGAACCTAAGTGAATAAACTCTTCAATGTGGCTCCCATGCCATCATGTACATCATGCACAATCAGTACACAGAACATCTAACTCACGTGAGAAAAACCTGAGAATTGATGGTACAAATCCAGAGATGGGCTTTATGTGATTTGTACTCCAGCTCATCTTTAAATTCTTATTCAGAGACCACTACTGAATGCATGTTCATACACACAGTAAACACAAACACCTTTACCTTAAGCTTATCCTTTCCTAAATTTGTGTTGGAGTAAAGGTGGGGACCATTTGAAATCCATAAGGAAGATTCCCCACTCTCTCATGAGAATATCTACAGGGTTACCCCCTATCATAATTACATATACCATTGTTACTTTCTAAAGCGTAAATGGCATGCATGCAATAACTTTCTAACTAAATAAAAGGATTTTAAAACTTGCTGAAAATGGTGTGGTATACAAAAATTTGCTGAATACTTTCAGATTAACATACTATGTACAGATGTGAGTTCATTGAATTCTTTACCAAAACCTTTCTGACAGACTTTTAAAAGAGGAAATTAAATTTCCTTGGACAAGAAACACTGCCACTAAAAAAGAAAGGCAAGTTCCATTGACTGATTTTATATCTATAGTGATTTTTTGAAGAGCTAGAAGTTTTGTGGGTATTTTTATGTTTGACTAAACAACTGCAATAAATGCATTACCTGTATATTCAAGCAGGAAATAAGCTTCTCATTACTTTTAGTTCTTGATTCCAGAGAGAGAACCTCATGAGAACGCCCACCACCCAATGCCAGCATTAAGCGCCCAATTTCTTTGTCTCGTATCTCAACCTTTGATGGACAAAAAAAATGTTCCAGTATCCTCATACACCATTAATAAACCCTTCATTTAAATAAACACACACATAACATTCAGCAAAAGGTACACAACTAAAAATGCAATTTCTATCTTTTTTTGTATTTCAGATTATCGGTTCTTCTGAAAAAAATAGTATCTTTGAAAGAGAAATAAATGAATCAAACACAATTTGTAAGGAAAAACTGAAACAGTTCTTACTAGATTACATTCTTGAAGAAAACCAAATTTAATTTTCAATTTTAATTTGAAGTGAAGTTAACGAATGCTACAACTTAACTGAGACTAGCACTTAAAATTAGGGAAAAAAACTTCTAAATAGGCTAACTCAGTGACTATTCTAGTCGCTGGAAAAAAGGAAATATTGGAAGAGAAAAACCAAGATGTAAAGAAAAAAGGACTGTCCACCAATCCCTAGATTTTGAAAGACGTAACACATGAACATTTGATGTAATTCCATTACTTAAAGATTGTACCTACCTTATAAATACAATACCATTAAAACTTTGTAAAATAAGTTATTAATAAAAACTTAAAAATATAACCAGTCCAAGCAATGAAAAACAATCCTAAGACGTACGTAGATCAAACTGCTATTTTGGACAAGTTAACACTTACGCACTAAAATATGCAGAAAAATTCTACTTATGATTGTCAAGTTTACCTTAGTTAATGTAATTTCAATAGACAAATTTATCAGCAAAACCACCAGGCAAGTATTTTGTCATTGCTGCTGTCTCCAAAAGCAGAGGAAGAAAAATGCTCAACATAGGCAAGTTAGAATAATTATATTTCACACGCCCTACAATGCATTCCTAAGAAGGTTTTTAAGACAAGGCCATTGCCATGGCTATGACACCCAGATAATAACAATAATATTAATATTAATAATAAAACAACAATCCCACTACTACTGAGAGATAAACATACCTGTTTGCTATACTTTTTCATTCCACTTTCAGATGTCTCCAGTTTTTTCTGTAGTTCTGTTACTTCTGACTGCAGTTCTTGAATTCTGAAATGTAGTGCTACATTTTTATATTAATTCATGAAAGAATTGTATGCACACAATTCAGCACTATCATTTCCTCTTTGCTCCTGAACCCAAATATGTCACAGAGAAATAGTTTTGCTCATGCAAAATATTAATGCAGAAGATGTTGTTTGAGATATTGCAGCAGGTTGACTGTGTCTGACTGTCAGTCCCTCATATAGATGCTCTCTTACTTCCTTTCCTCAACAGGATGGGAGATAAAAGAAGAAAAAGCTCATGGGTCAAGGGGCTTTTTCAAAACAGGGAGACCATCTACCAACTACTGTCACCAGTGACAGACTCAAGTGGGGGAACATTAATTTAACTTATCAGTCAAAAGGAGTAGGACACTGAGAATCAAAGACACACCTAAACTTCAAAGTTAAGAAGCTCTCTGGCTCACCGATTATCAGCCACCTGGAGAAGGTCTGCAATGTATGGGTCCTCTGGCTGAGGCACTGGGTAGGCACTGACACCTGAGGGGGGCACAAACTGGTCTATCTGCATGCGCTGACGCCTGAAGGGAATGCTTTTCCTCCTGCCACCTAGAAGTACAAACCCAGAGATATATTACTTGGAGTTAAAGCAAGGGAGTAATCTACTTTAATACAAAGTTAATTTTCCTATTTATTTCACTGCTTCTGAATGGGCATACACCATTTTATTCCTTCTACAATAAGCTGATAAAATTCACATATTCTAGGCAATACCATTCTTGCAGGTTAGCACCAGTTTTGCCAAAGTTCATTATTATAATAAGGAAACACACAAAGCTTTTATAAGTCATTTTCCCCAGTGTTTAAGATCCCAAATACTCTATACTTGAAACTTGTTGAAGCTGTTAGTGACTCAGCTTACTAAAACAGCTAAATCAAAACACCACAAAAGGCATTTGGTTTTCACATTTAAGAACTATTTTATGACTGAACTAACCTTTGCATTGTTTAGTAATATTTTTATTCCTTCTACTCTGTGTTCATTTCAGTGACTATCATATCCTACTGCCCATAAAGCAGAGTATGCTATTAGCTTGAATGATAACATATTTAGAAAAAGGCAAAATGCAGTATTTTTTTCCAGATAGAACATTTCCTCTTCATCATATGGTTAAATAAGAACATGTAATATTGGATGATGTAGTATAGAAAAATCCTAGAAGATTTGTGACCAAGGGACAAGAATGCAAAAAGACAGACAAAAGCCTGACATGTCATCTTTGAAGCAAAGGACATGAAGTGCAGAAAGGTATGCAAAAATAAAGAGGAAATTTATTTTTTCCTAGCTATCTATTGATTTTCCTCAAATGCCAAAAAATGCATATATAATTCAATGGCTTGGAAAAATAAAGACAGTCTCAAAATTTCCCAAAGTAATTCTATATTCCTTAGATTCAAAAAAATTAAGAAAAATGAAACCCTGGAGAAAGAAATTAACCTGAAAGTAACATCTAGAACATTTTAAGTTATCAAAAGATCCTCTAAATATTGTAAGTTTATAGAGGATTGGAATACTTGTAGACATATTTTGCATCTTGCTATGCTTAGATCTTGGTTCCAAAAATCTGAATTTGTCACTTACACTCAATTACCTGTCCAAAATATGCAAGTGTCAAACAATACGCATTCAAATTTGTCCCTAACTGAAAGTTCAAACAGAGAAATTACAGAATTCAGAGCCCAAACTTTCAAAGGGTAATGCTATTCTACTGGATATTTTACTACAGTAACTGCTCTTACGAGAGGATATTATGTTCTGAAGATAAAAAAAAAAAAAAAAAAACAGAAAAAAGTTGAAATATCTGTGATTATTTACACTCACCAGGTGTTTGCACCACTGCTTGCAGATTCTTCTCCTGAAGCTGCTGAATTTTTTCAGTCTTGGCTTTGGTCTCTTTTTCCAGCATTTTAATTTTATGTATATACTGGTTATTCAGAAATTTCAAGTCAGTTGTTTCATGTTCAATCCTCCTTAAGGAGGCTTTCAAATCTTCAAGGGAGAGAAAAGCAGTATTATCTGTCTTATTCACTATTATTTTTCCTAGTAGCACAAAATAAGCATAAAGAAAATCCTATATTCTTTTTCCATAGCAGAAAATTATCAAATACACATACATATGTGCATACTTTTACAAACAAACACACAAAAATATATATTTATACATGTTTTACAAATAAACACCCACTGTGGAACAAAGGCCCATTTAACAGCATTTAACAGTATTTCATTTTCAATTAAAAAACACCATTTCAAGGTACAAAAGTATGCATTAAGATTTCTAACATTCTCATATCTTATTAAAACAGTAATTTGAAGAACTTCCAAAGTTTTTTGACTGCAAAAGAAATGTCTAAGCATGAATCTTAATTCATTAAAAGCACTGAACTCTATGACCACTCACACTCACTTAAAAGTACAGATAAAATAATCTGCAGATCAAGGATTTAGCCATATTTTTATTTTGACATGGAAGGATTAAAAAAAAAAAAATCATCTTTTGTATATTACCTTTAACATGACGATCAGACTGCTCTTTCAGTTTTAATATTTCTAAATGTAGATCATTATTTTCCCTGGTAAGTCTAGCATTCTCTGTTTTATAAGGTTCCAAAATAGTATCATAATTGCTGCATTCTTTCTCAGTCTTTCCAGAAGAAAACTTTGCTTTGCGCAAGCTCTCAGTTGTATGAACTAAGTCACTAGGATAAAGGAGCATCAGATATGTTAGCAATGTTATCAGCCTTCACACTGCAGATGCAAACGTTTATTATAACCTGAGATACAAAACCCTTTCCCCAAGAGGGGGAGCAAATGAGTTCAAACAAAGGCAACAAAACACTAATGTCATGCAAGAAAAACTGAAAGCTAGGAACCACCTGTTTAAAAAAAACAGTAAATAGGAAAGAACAGGACAAAAAAAAAAAGAAAACAAAACAGTTACAAAGCATATCATGAATTTACATCTGAGAAGTATCAAAGCTAGTGATGGGGAGAATAAACTTACCTGGTAGACACATGAATGAGACTTAATGTTGAAGACAGATTACTCCATATTTGCCTACCTATGTTTTTCCATCTGTATTACACACAGGAGCAACAGAGCCAGAATAGCTACATTTTTGTATTTAGTCAAATGTAACTGGATTACTATAGAAATTACTGTGTTCTTAGTAATATCAAAGCCAAAAAATGGCAGATCTAACAAGAAGGAAATCTGAAAATTTTTGCGGTTATTTCTGTTACGTGTCTTGCAAAGAGGGCAGAGACAACAAATTTAAAATTCCCTAAATGAGGTCATAATAAATGGAGATGTGAATGTTTTAAGTCACAAAACACGCAATAGAGATTATTTTTTATACAACCAGTTATGAGAGTGTGTCCTTTTAAGCACATATCAATAGGTTAGAAAAGTTGCATTTTCCTATGCCATAGATACTTAGAAGCAATTTTACTGAATTAAATTAAATCTTAAGATGTTCCCATAATTTAAGCAAACCCATTTGACTTCATTTGACACCAGAACTTAATGGTAGCTCTAAAATAACACTGCTAGAAAATAATCCTCATATTAAACCTTCTTTCCTACATGTCAAAAATCAAACAATACCTACAATACAATTACTATTTTTCAAATTAATCCCCTTTGAATACCTGAAAAGCTTTTCCACCAAAGGTAAACTGTCCACTCCCAGTGGGTGCCGATAGCCCAGCTGATTCAGGCGTTTCCTGAGATTAACAAACCTTCGCTCTGCATTTGTACTCATTGTTAACACACCTCCAAAGCTGCTTTTGCCGCAGTCAACAAAAACAGGACACCTGCAAAAGATTGTTGGTTACAGCATCTGTCCTTTAAAGAAGGAAAAACAGAGGGGAAAAGTAATGGAAAAACCTTTTTATTCTGTAGGAAATACAGTGCATAAGCATGTCCTTAAAATTTAAGTAAATCAAAACAGGATCACTGCAACTGAAAAGTTTTAAACATATTTAGATATTCCTTTAAAAATAAGTATTTGCCTTGGCAGTTAGTTTTCCTATTATATTCTGAATTTTTCGAATCATGGTCATCACTGTATCTTACACAATACAAATTGCTAGATTATGCTGAAAAACTCACACTTTTTTCTTTCATATATAAATCTTACTTTCAAAGTTTACAAGCCAGTACTTAATATAACTTATGGCAACCATTTCTAAAATTGCATAAAACATGTAAAATGTTGAAGACAGATTAACTTTCATCTACATTCTATGATAGAAAATAGGAATGATAAAAACTACCAGTGTACTCTAGTCATACTTGCATCATTTTCTGAAAAATACAGTTCAAGGATCAGAGAGCTGGGTTTTCTCAATTGACTCATTAGTTATCTTTTATTACTAAGCTGATTTAAAGGGGACTGGATCAGTATTACTGTGTCTGAATCCAAATGATAATTTTGGTTTTCCTGCGTACACCTGAGGGAAGAAGAACTTTAACATCATTACATCCTTCTGAATTTAGACACAGAATGAGAAGACAAATCAAGTACTAAAGCTTATGTTTCGTAATCTGTAAAAACATCTGTTGACTAGTTAGAAATATTTTTGAAAAGTAGTTATTTCTGTAAAACATATTCCCTCACATTTTTTTAGAAGTTTCAATATTAACCTATTGGCTGCAAAGACCTGAGCAACCAAACTACCAATTCAAGGTGGTGTTGTTTGCATCTCACATAAAAGGAACAGAATTCAGAGACCACCCAAACTATCATCACAATCCACCAGATTTTAAAAAATATATTAAATAAATACATTCAGGTATTGGGAAATGAGTTATTGATGATAAATTGAGGAAAATGTGCATGTTTCTCTCATATCTAATGCTGGAAAGTTAAGATTTCATCTCATTTTATTAAAATGCTACAAAGAAGTCTAGCAACTGACCTGTGGTTGCCGGGTAATGCTCTGTGGATGAGAATCACCAGTCTTGCAAGCACAGCATCTGCTCTGAGTACTACTAAAAATATTTGCTTGAAGAGGTTTCAGGTTGTTGGGATATTAACTAAGCAATGGCATTGCCAACAATCCTTTACATACTGTGCTGGGATGTCTGAAGGAGGAGGAGGTGCACTTTCGTTCCACCAGTGTGCTCAGTGGAAGTCAATGTCCTGATGTGTAGGAAATGCTCTTCATACTCCTCTGACAGCCAAACACTAAAGTAACAAGTTCTTGGTATTTCTACACCAAAGTTGAAGATTCTGTACTGAATTCAGGAAAAGTGCAATTGTTTTACTGTGTCTAGATTGAGACTCAGGAATACATTTTATATTACTACAGAAGAAAACTGGTAACTCCTGAGCCCATCTTCTCCTTAAGAAGACTTGTATCAGTTAAAAAGATTAAATTACCTCCAAATAGTTCAGATTCGTTTAAAAGCTTGTGTTTTAGAAACAGCAAAGGTTTTTTACTAATCGAATTGAGAATGTTTTACAGAAGAAGTATCATTAACATATCCGTGTGACAGCTTGTACAGAAAGTAACTGCAAAGAAAAATAAATGGACATATGTTAGCACTTCAGTAACTGTGGCTAGGAAGTACATATATAATCTCACTAAATCCCTGCAATGGGCATTCAAGATACAGCAACCTAAACACAATTCAGTATTGGGAAGTACTGACAAATTGCTGGTTGAATCACTCTCCTTCCTAAAAACTGAAATTTTTAATCTAACTCATTATTACCACTGGAATCAATCCAGAAAGAGTATTATCTTATATTCCCTACAGCCATATCTGATCATAAGACCAGGAAATGAATAGCTCTAGTATAGGTCCAAAAGGCATCCTGGAATGAATATGGGAAGATTTGGTGTTGTTATTTCAGAGAGGTTAACATAGATATTAAAGTCTTCAAAGACAATAATTGTCATACACCCTTTGTTAGAAAGAAATTATGTGTCAGTAATTCCAGACCTCTGCCATTACAGACTACCATAATTTAAATCTTACACCCTAAACTTAGGCTATCACTATTCTTACCATGACATGAAAAAGTATCTAGTAACTTCTACATGAGGAAAATTTGTTTTTCTGGAAATATAAAATCAATACATTAAATGCACTGATTCAGTTGAATCCAAGACCTGTCTGACACAATGTCCCGTGTCTCTTATACAGTTGCCACAGCAAGAGTATAAAAACCTTAAAAATACTAGTTAAATCTTACTCCTACATACATTTTTTTCATATAAACCTATAATGCAGGGCCTTGAAGAGCTTCAAGTTGGACTGAAATAATAGTAATAGTACCTGATAGACCTTTCTCCGAGCAGACACTGAGACACTTGGCTGCAGCCGTCACTATTCATATTGATTCCTAACTTACCATTTGCCTTTTTGATCACTTTAAAGCATCAATTAGATGCATTCACCATGACACATCTGAGTGGTTGTTACCACTTTAGTGACCACAGCATGTATCACTTTGCCTTTACTAACACTTCTCCTCAACTCTGGCATCACTACTCAGTCCAGTGAAATTTTTCTGGCACCCTTGGACTGCACTTAACATGTCCACATAATGAGCAAATTTTGTCCCCTGCTGTTTAACCCACTCTCTCACATTACTGATCAGTGTTTGTCATGGCTTAACCCCAGCTTGCAAGCAAGCACCACACAGCTGACTTGCTTACTCTCCCCACTCCCACAGGGGTGGAGGGGAGAATCAGGGGAATAAAAGGCAAAACTTTTTTTAGATTGCCATTGGAACAGTTTAATATTTAAAACAAAATATAATACTACTACTAAGCAAGAAAGAGTGATAAAACCAAGAGATGCACAATGCAATTACTCACCACTTGCTGACTGATGCCCAGCATGTCCTCGAAGCACAACCAGCCCTGCTCTGGGTACTCCCTGGTTTATTTTTAAGTAGTGGAATACCAGCTCAGATCATCTGTCCTGGCTATGTTCCCTCATGGCTTTCCGTGCAGCTCCTCACTGGCTCCGAGAAGTCCTCAGCTGAGAGCAAGCACTACTTAGCAACAACCAAAACACCAGAGTGTTATCAACATTATTCTCATGCTGAATCCAAAACACAACACTGCACTGGCTGCTAGGAAGGAAACGAACTTTATCCTACCTGAAACCAGGGCATTTGGTCTTTGTTTGCCCTAAAGCATAGATGAGATGCATTCACAGTGCCACATCTTTTTCTGAGCAGTTAGTGCCATTCTAGAGAACACAGCATGTATCACTTTGCCTTTATTAATGCTATTCTTTAATTCCCACTTTATTATTCAGTCCAGTGAAACTCTTCACAATCCTTGAGATCACACTTAACATGTTTATAAAATGAGCAAATTTTTCCCTTGCTGTTTAACCCATTGTTTCAGATCAGTCTTAAACAGCAGACAATCTTCTGCACATTCACTGTGTAAGGTTGTACTTTCTACTCTCTCTTTTAATCTCCAGCTTCTTTTCTCCATTTCTGACAGACACCTGCCTTCTTAAAAACATTTGGTAAAGAACCTTCTCAAAAAGCCTTTTTGTAAATCCAAGTTTTCTACATTGTTTGCACCCAAGTCAATTCAATCCAGAATTTGCTTTTCTTTAAAGAAGCTTAATAGCCTTGTGAATCACAACCGAATCTTGATGAAAGGTATGTCATACCTACTAGATGTCTGTAAGTTTGCAAAGTACTGGAAAGCACTCTTAACAGCTTTGGTATTTCCCATGAGACAGGCTACATTAGCTGCATAAATAGTTCACATAATTTATCATCTAAATATTTCTTTCAATTTAGGACTGCTGTGAAGAGAATCAAATTTCCATTTTTGATGAAAAATAGAAAAGAGAAAATTGAACAGTACTTTAACTCAGACAATTCCTCAACAGGACTTACTAATACATCTAAATGATTACACCTCTATCACTTGAAATCAGTCATTTGCTAAATAGGGTTTACTAATATGTTTAAATGATTACACCTCTCAGTTGCTTGCTGAAAAGTATTCAGAGCCAATTAGCCTCATTTTTGTTCCCCCTTTGCTGATGAAAACTGCTGAAGGTAACAACATTCACATGCCTCATTTTATGACATGCTTGGATGGCTGTGAGCAGTCTTTTAAAGATACGTTTATGTAATAGATATATGTAGCACCTAAGAAGTGTTCCCTAGTATTTTAAGTCACCAACTGATCCTTGATGTGAAAGATGGGCAAAAGTGAAACCTTATATCCTGCTGCTCTAGGCTTTAACTAGAGAATCAACTGGCACAAAATTGTGTGAAATAAGCAATATTTATAGGTATTAGATTAGCAGATTGAAGTCCTCCTTTTATTCGGAGAATAACACAGCAAAATTTATGCTGAGTACAGGTTCAGAACTGTTGCAGATGGAATATTTGTGTTATCAATCAGAAAATGTAATAATAAAAAAGCAGAGCAAAGGTGGATCTTGGCCATGGAAGAAATAATGCAGTCATCAAGCCATGTGGACAACAAAACTACATCGATAACAGCTGAACACAAAGAAATTACTCTGGACAAATGTATATGCTATGAAACAAGTTTTTTAATTGAGCCTGTAACATTAACACCAAAGACAATAGTGAACTGCAGTTTCAGTCTCAGTTTTGGGAAATACCAAAGTGCATTTTTCATTCACCAGAACTTACATGTTAAAGGTTTTTTTCCCTTTTTTTCCCTGTCCTGTTCGCCCAGGTACCAAAGGCACTCAGCGGACCTGATATTTGACTACCGCGGTGCTTTAGGGCTGTGCCGTGACACGCAGTCGCTGCAACATCGTGTTGAAGACACACCCAGAGAGCCAGCACTTGCTTCAGGAAAGGCTGCTTCCAAGTGGATTTGCCGGGAGCTCATTTCTGACTAAGGTATTCATACAACACGCTTGCCGTGGAGTCTCGGCACTTAGCCAATGGAAAGACAACGCTTTTCCCGAAGAAACAGGTTTTTTTCGCTAAAGTGTAATGGAATGCCAGAATGGTTAGGAAGGCAGCTCTGGAGATCATCCAGCCAAGGCAGGGTCACCTGGAGCAGGTGGCAGGAACGCGTCCAGGTGGGTTTAGAATGTCTGCAGAGAGGAAGACTCCACGTCCTCCCTGGCAGCCTGACACCATGCCCTGTACGTTCCCACTTCGGCACAACAAAACCCTTTCGATTATCAGCCTGCTCATCACCCGCCTCCCTAAACTGCAAGCTTTGCAGACCTTCCAGCAATCCCAGTCTGTACCTACAAGAGGGGCGGTCGGTCACTTTCCAAGCAGGTTCACGCCACTTTTTCCCCACACTCACCACTAAACTCAGGCGTCGGCAAGCGGGCCCGCTGGCAGGCCCGCGACGTCCCAGCGCCTGAAATCCTTTGAAAATGGCGCGCGGAGCAGCGGCCGCTTCCGGCCCGTCCCCGCAGCAACGGGGGGACGCGCCCGCGCGGCCCGGCCGCCCCTTCCGCTCCCTTCCCTTCCCTTCCCTTCCCTTCCCTCCCCTCCCCTTCCCTTCCCTTCCCTTCCCTTCCCT